TGATATGCGTAGGGCTGGATACAGCTGCTGCTGCAGAGTTGTCTTGGCCCCATGCGCATGGGGACAAGCCCTGTGCCCAGGGGGTCTTCCCTATGCAGCTGGGGGCTGGCAGGGAGCTGTCTCTCTTCGGGGCTCTCTCGGCTAGCTCCCAGCTGGATGGGGAAATCCCTCACAACTGGGGGCTGACCGGGGAACTGTCCCGCTTCCTCTCCTTGTTAGCAAAGTCTGTACAGGGCTGGCTAGGAGCTGTTCCCCTTCTGGGGCAGCTCCATAAGAAATGATGCTGTAGCTACAGTTGGAGGATAAAGGATACTCAACACGTGTTTTAACACAACCTATATTTATAGCTGCTTGTTTACAATGTACAGAATGCTCCATTGTATTACCTCAGATCTACATGTTTCTCTTATCTTATCTTGAACTCCAGAAGTTACCAGACTGTAGAGAGTCTATATCTCTTCCTCTTATCTTATCCTGTACAGACTTCACTAACAAGTACATCATTTCTGTCTTTTTTGGTAGTATACTGTAATTAGCTCAAAGGTCATGACAATGCAGTTAGTACAGAGGTCACGGCAGTTCAACTACTGGCATATTTCCCTAATAAAACTCAGCATGAGTGCAAAGCATTCTGGGACTACAACTCCTAAAACTTAGAATAAGTACAGGCTAGGCTTTTATAATCCAGTGCAGAATGTCTGTTTTGATAGACATAGCGGCAATGGCTTACAAGGCTCAGCTGACAGGAGTTGGTTGAGGAATTAAGCCATGGAAAAGCCCTGAGGCAGCAGTGATAGTAATGAGTCATAAATGGTAGACCATACAATAGTACTAGTACAACTAAACTTAAGGAAGAGACATTTAAACAAGGCAGCTTTGATTGGAAACAGTCTGAAGTGAAAATTCAGACATCCAGAACCAGGGAGAGGTTGCTAACGGCCTTCCTATAAGAGGGTGGCCAAAGTCCAGGTAGGAAAAAGTCAAGAAAAGTCAATGCCCTTCAAAGCAGAAGCAATCACATCGCGAAACAGTGTTGTGCAGCACAACAGTCTCTTTCTCTCTTTGACTCTGAGGTGAAATCCCAAGGAAAGCCACGCTGAGTTTTGGGCGCTTCCTCATCCGAGTGATGGGAGAGAGCTCAGACAAGTCACATAAAGAATCAGGGTGCTGGACAGCCTGACTTATGACGAGGCAAAGCAGCCAAAGTGCTACAGCTGCAGAGCCTGGCTCCGTGGAGAAGTCTTAAGGAGGTGGGACACGGGGTGGTGACAATCTGGACATATCTGAAAGGTGAAAACGTCTCAGGAGGAGTTATTTAGTACAGTGAAGAGGTACAGGGCTAAGATCAGAAATGGGAAGTTTAAGGCTGAACAGCAGGAAAACCTGACAGACAACAAAAAGAATTGGGGTATGGCAATCCTTAAGGAACTGTTTGAAGCCACGCTGTCTGGGTCAAAGTACTAGAAATGTAATGCAGAGCAGTCCCGTACTGGCCTTGGCAGGTGGTCCAAGGAAGGTTTGAGAGTTTCTTCAGTTGTATGGTACATGGTTTTTCTCTACCCTAAAAGCTATCCTTTAAAAATATGGAAACCCACAAAACAAACTGTGGTTCATAAAAGCATGCTTAATCAGGGGGAGATTAAACTAATGGGCTCTGAAGTAAGCCTAGAAGAACAGAACTGAGACAGCTGAATCAGCAGGAGGCAAATTCTGAGGGGATAGAAAAATGACCCTTTTCAAATGAGGGGGTACCCTGAGGAGAAAAGGATTAGCTGAGCAAGGTAATCTGTGGAATGAAGGGAAGAGACAGACCTACGTATCAAGGAGCAGATGTAAATAATTCAAAAGAAAGCAGCTGACCTTCTGAATCAAGGCGTAGGTTGGCCAGTGAGCAAGTTAACTGGAGTTGTTGCAATCACCTGAGATTTAAAACTCTGAAAACATGACTCTGCAAAGAAACCGCTATGTCTTGCTGCACAAAAGCCAAAGGTCCTAGTGATGTCAGGTGGGGCAGGATCATATCATGATTGAAGGCTTCAGTCTGCCTCAGTAACTCTCCCTGAACACTGAGCACTACATTTAAGTCAGTGAAGGGCTAAAAAACAACCAAAAAAGAAAAAGAAAAAAAATCCAAACCCTCTCAATCCCACTGAGCACTAAAACACTGCAAAGAGCAGCACCTGTGCAGACAGAGAATTCACTGAGCTCAACAAGAGGGGGAGTAGAGGGAGGGCAGATGTCTGGAAGTGATGAGATGAAATGCTACTGTCACTTCCCATCCATAACTCTCTCACATCAAGGAGTGGAGACAAGATAACCACCAGCAAAACCTGAGATGTACAAGTCACTGCAGAAAGGGAGAACAAACCAGATCCTGCATGATTCCAACCTGTCGTGGAGCTCACTCTCAGCTTCCAGGATTCACTGGGCTGTGAGAAATTAAAGGGAGGAGAAGAGGAAGGGGAATAAACTTGCCTTTGCTGAAAGTCTTGAGTTAGAAACTCACTGGGAATCTGGCTTCGCATCATATCTGCTGTGGCTATCAACCGGAAAAGTAAGGATAACAGCCCATTTATTTGAATGCCATTTGATTTCGTTTACTGTATTTTTAGGGTAAAATAATACATTTTGTGCCAAAAGACAGAAATGCTAGGGGCCTTACAGGGGAAAATGTCCTGCTGAGCAGTCGGAGTTAAGCTTCTGCAAATTGTTGGGCCCTATTGTTTTGGTGGAGAGGGATTGCATCTGATAAATTCTAGTCTCTAGGCAGTGAAGGTCTAAAAACATTGGCTTAAGCCTTAAACCATGCACATTGTGCACATGCACCTTGAGATGTTCCTTCATGTCACTCTGCCACAGTCACCGCTGGTACAAGTCTGGGTTCTTCACCCAGCACAAACTCCTGGTATTTCAATTCTCCCCCTCCCATGGGGCTCTGCTAATGCACCCCAGGTCTACCACCCACTTGGGGTGGATTTATAATGTGAACAAAAGGCCCAACAGAGATTGGCCTAAGACACTACCAAACTCATTTTCACGTGTGACCTCAAGTTGTGATATTCTCTCTCTTTTGGCTATGACAGTCTCTCCAGGAAGTCCATTTTCTTGACTTCTCCTGCAGGAATATGATGAGTGAAACATCACAAGTAACAGAGCTGTTAGCATAAAAGTACTTGTTGCCCCATAATCCCACCAGTCCTGCTCCCTCATGTGCCATTCTCTGATTAGCTTAATAGCTTTCTGCAACCCCTCTGCTAACATACCTTTTTATGTAAGAACAGCCACTGAGGAGGTCACCTGTAGCTCCCACTAAAAGAATTGAAAGGAAACCCTGGTGCCCCTGAGAAAACACTGGAAGAGCCCACCATGTGCTTCCTGATATTACAACAAAGTGGCCTTGTTGGTGCCAGACACATCTGGATGCCTCTGTTTGCTTTCCAACTGATTGTGCATGTTGGTACTTTGATCTTTAGATATATAAGCCACCAGCAATACCTCACTGTTTACCACTGCTTCTGTGGGTGCACTATCCTAAAGCCTCATGCACATGATGGAGGACCTTCTGTGTAGCCAACAAATGAGACATTTCTGGCAGTTATTCCAGGTAGGATATTATTTAAATAGGTATCTGAGAAATACCATGCTTAACCAGAGTCTCCCTTGCACAGGTGCAAACTAATTTAAGAAGTAAAAAAAACACAGGTCCATATGTGTGTGGGGCTATTTTCATTCCCCCAGCCTGTCCACACCACATCTCCTAACCCTATGGGCACTGCTGTCATGACTGACAGCTGATAGCTTTTCTAAACACTGAACAGAACGTTGCAGTCACTACCGACTGTAACTGAGTGGAAATGATGATATTTTTATCCCTTTGACAATATTTATGACAGCTCTTCTTAAGCATAAAGTGTTTTTCACTTTTATTTGCTAAGATATATAAAAATGAGCCTATCCAAAAGCTCGGCAGGCACACACAAATTAATCTTTATAATTGCATACAAAGGAACGATCACATTTGCCCACTATCCCAATTTAAAAAAAAAAGCTTCCTGGCCCACAGGAACCAAATCCATCTCTTCTTGCTGACTTCACCCTCAGAAAAAGCCTGGGAAAATCAACCACATAACTAGGGTAGAATTAGTGAGGCATGAGCCCTGGGTGCCAACTATGTGGGAATGCCCCAATCCTCCCACCCCAGGAGTCTTTTGCAAGAGGCCCTCAACTGCCCCAGGTGCTCAATGAGCTCACTACACCTCTAAAGAAAATAAATAGGCCTCTCTTGTGAATGTCAACCAATTTGGTTTCTCTCAGACCAAGAAAGAAAAATGAATGTCTCCAATGGATGCTCACCAGTGGATCAATGAACACAACCCAGGAGTGCCAGGCAGAGAGGTTTAGTTTTTCTCAATCTTTATGTAAGAGATCCAAACCATAACGCTTCTTAAAAGGAATTCTTAGGGCATGGGCAGACATAATGTTTGCAGAGTTTCATGTGGCTTAAAAGTGCTATAAACAAGTGGGCAGACAGATAACACATAGTGCTATAGTGCTACAAATCAGCCCAAACTGTTTCAGAAACTACCCTGGATGAAACAAGGATAACTGAGGTGCTTCACATTAAAGTGCCCTAGGTTATGCTTCTCCTCCATACTAGAATTACACTAGGAAATCACCTGGAAGCTACTGCAATCTATGGAGCACTGGTGCAATATGCTCCTTATTGGAAAACTTTACTAGGTAAGCAGGAAGCTGCATCCTGCCCATGTTTACAAGGGGCCTTCTGAGGAAGACAAAGGTCACTACAGAAAAGGCCATACCCGGAAAGGTGTGGTTGTATCCTCCTTGCCAAAAACAGACAGTAAAAAATTGCCCTTATCCACACAGAAGAGACCAAATTTCCAGCAAGAAGCCCAGGTTGCAAATGCAGAAGTCAGTCACACTCATGAAAGCTCTAATTTACAGTTATGCTTGCCTTTTGCTGGATATCCAAACCCTACCTTCATGTTCTCAGTCAAGGACTTTCACCTTCAGAACAGGTGTTAACTCATCTATTCTCCAATCTGATGTCTGATTCCAGTCCCCAGTGGAGTAAAACTGCAATTCTAAAGGATTCATATAAAAGGTTAGGACATTTTAATGGACTGCTTTTTATGTCCCTGCCTTTAACTTAAGAGACCCTCTGTTTTACAGACCCCACCTGACAGGTGCCATGGGGTTGCTATATAAGACCACCAGCAAAGAGATGCACAGCCCTCCCCTGGGCATCTGACCCCCTCCTGCACTCCAGCAGTTTGGGTGCATCCACTGTCGGTGGCAACAGATGTTACAGCACGAAGACCTGACTCCCTGAATGAAAGGATTAATGGGGCATTAACAGGGCATTAACATTAAAGCCCCAGTTGTGGCCATTTAAATGTTAACAGCCTTAAGTGAGTTACCCAAAACACAAGCTTACAGCTTGAGCCACTGGAACTTGGTGGCCAAATCCTGCCCTGAGTTATTCTTGGAGCCATCATACTGAAGCCACCAGGTACCCCAGGCATTCTATGCCAGGCAGGGCCTGTTCCTGAAATGGACTGTGTTTAAGTGACAGTAAAAGGCTCATATTTAGGAAAGATTTTTTTTTTTAAATATGCCAGGCATTTTGTTTTAATTGATCAACAACTAAAAGCCTGGGTTTTGTCAGGTGTGGCCTGATTTGGATTCTTCACTAATATTCCTGCAAAACTAGCTAAAAGAAAAGCCAACTTTTAAAGCCTGGCACGTTGAATTAATGTTCTGTTAAATCTGGCAGATATTGCCCATGCTTCTTTATTGACCTTGCTCATAATTCTCCTTTTGACATTCCTCCTATGCACCTTTTCCCATCCAGAGTGCTTTTCATGGTCCAAAGGTATTTTATGCCCGAGCAGAGCAAATTGCCACCTCCTTCTCACCTCCCTGAACAGTATTCCAGGACAGATCAAGAAGCATGCCATTACCCACAAAGCATGCACAGAGCACCACTGGCACTGCTACTACCAGACCTGTTAGATTTCAGAGATGCTGGGTAGCAGCAGGTAAACACAGATTTTGTTTTAGCAGCTCAGTTACAGTTAAGTGAGCATCTGTCCTGGCTGTACACAATAAACCTCCTATTTCAGAAGGGCATAATGCAGTCATTCAATTTTGTTGCAGTTTGAAAGTTGGCAGGAGAGGCCTCTGCCCCCCAGTCTGATTGTGGTTTTCATCAACCTTAAAAAAAATACTGATTTTCTACTTGTGCAATCATCTACACCTGTGCAAAAGGAATGGAAAATATTCCCATCAGGAGAAGTACACAGTGATTTCTCATCCACACACCCACTTTGCACTGGGCTCAGTAACCACACAAGAGGGAAAAAAAATGGGAAAATCAGGCACATTATGTTCCCAGTGTCCTGTTAAATGAGATGTATTGAGGAAAAAAAATCTGCACTCTCACTTAAAAGTTTTAAGAGCTTCCAATCCCTGCTGGGAGACATGGGGCTCTTGTAAAGGTTGGGATGAGAACATTGTTTTTAGTTTCAGTTCTGATTAGGCTGGATTTCTCCCTGAGTCAGTTTTTATCTTGGGGAAGTTATTGTTCTGGATTTTAAGAAAAATAAAGTACTGTGCTGTGGCTGTGCCTTCAGTGAAAATATTATTGTTTTGGTTTTGGCTTCTCTGTGCATGGCCACAACATAACAGCGTAAAAAGCAAAGTTGGGCTACTGCAGATATTGGGACCAGTGATGGCTTTCGTAGAGGTGACAGGGGAGATAATGAAGCAGCTTCTTGATCTACTATTAACAAATAAAGACTCAGTATAGTTAAAGTAGGAAGTTATATATGATGTCATTTTCTTTCCCCCAACCATAGCAAATTCACAGACCCCCCATGAGGCTCAGCTTCTGATTTATTTTTATATTGGGGTCATTATTTAAGGAATTTATGGAGGAGGGACATGGGGTATCGATAAAAAACCTGCTTTCACATGAAGTTTTATGGGGCTTTCTAATCTTGCTGGCAGGCTCAGAAGCTCTAGTGAAGGGTGTTATTAGGACCTTGTTTTCAGTCCCAGTTGTGATTAAGCTTCCTGCAGTGAGGTGGGTTAAATTTTGTGCTGTCTGGGTGCATTTACATGAAGTGTTTACAGTGCAGTAGACTAATTAGCTCTGCCATAAATGTCACAGTGTCTATGCATGCACCCCTATTAGGCTGGAGTAAACTAATAAACCCTGCAGCAGGATTATACCTGTAAATACAAGTACTATCTTACTGTGGAGTTTTTTACTCTGCAGCACTGCACATATAGACACTGCCCCGGCTTGCTGGGGCACAAGGGTGCTTTAGTGTGGGGGCTGCCTGCCAGCTAACCCCACATTGGAGCACCCTCATGTTCCAGCCAGCCCCTCCACAGCACGCTGAGCTGGGCAGGAGCAGCTCTGGGCTGGCAGGCTGACACCTGGGGTCCCCCACAAGCCAAGTCTGGTCCAACCTGTCTCAACATGCTATGGTATCAGGCACACATACAAATGGTGTGCCCAGGAGCAATACATTCTGGAGCAATAAACTGCAGAGTTTATTGCTTCACATTAATTGCATGTTTAGATACGCCCTCTATGAAGTATTTTATATTTTTTGGGTGGTGGGAGTTATTGTTCTGTGTTCTAAGAAGTTGAGTACACTTTTGTTGCCATTCTTTTAGAGCAAGTAGTAGTATTTTGGTGTTAACTTCTTTGTGTATTGCAAAAACATAACATAAGGACAAACCCACACATTTTGGAAGGCATTTGAAATCAGATCCCAAACTTTGGGTATGGGCCAAAAATGGCCATTGGTCCCTACCTTTTTAATGGGCTGAACTGTCACTTGGGATCCAAAGAACCCTGGCATCTAGATGCAGCTACAAATTCTGTGGTTAATCCTCTGAGTTAGCTACATGCTGTACCTATACCTTTTTGTCCAACATAGGACCACAAGAGCAGAAGCAAAATGTTGGGAGTGGGAGGGTGTGTATATGTGTGCAAGGGAGATTTCCTGCAGAAGGCAGCTGACATATGGGGTTTGTATGAAGGGGTGTGGGGTTAAGCAGATTCAGATTTCTGGCACTTTCTCTAACTGTGCAGCTTCTAGGACATGTAAGAGCTGTGCTGCAGGAAAAGGTGCCCAGTATCTAAAAGTCCTACACTGCAGTAGAGCAGAGTTCTGCTGCTCTGTGGCTAGGAGTCTTGAGCAATCATTGGCTCCTCCTGCAAGTATCCCCACTTACACATAGGTTGGCCATCATAGAGGACATTCCAGTTTTCTGCTACTCTGTCCTCTGTTGATACGAAACCCGATGCCTTTATGTCCATTTTCTCTTTAAAAGAAAAATAGAGGACTTAAAGGTGCCCGGTTTTGTATCAATAGAGGACAAAGGACAACCGAACTGTCCTCTATGATGGCCACCCTGAACTGATAAGCACTGGGTCACACCACTGAGCTGGTGACACTGATGGACTGAATTTTTTTATTTAAATCTTAATATTCCATAATCAGTGGGTGCATCTACATGTGCAGTTAATGCACATGAATAAATTCAGGAGCTTATTGCTCTCAGGTGCTGTGTCTTCAGTGCACCAGGGACCGCATCATGGAGCAGCCCTGGCTGACAGGATGGGGTGACAGGAGGGGGTCAGCCTCCCAGACTGGGTCTATTCCCCCCGACTAAATGTGCTGCAGAGAGGCTGGTTAGGCCACAAGGGTGCTTCAGTGTGGGGCTAGCCAGTCAGGGAAGCATCTACACATGAGCTGCTGCAGAGTAAAAACTCTACAGCAGGATAGTACTTGTATTTACAAGAATGATTCTGCTGTGGAGTAAATTAGTTTACTCAGGCCTAATAAGGGTATATGTGTAGATGCATGATGTTTACTGCCCAGCTAATTAGTCTACCACTCAGTAAACATCTCATGTAACTGTGCCCAGTGATTCTCAACCAGGTTGCAGGGGCACTCAGGGGTGCCACAAAATCCTTTGAAGGGTACCCCAAGGTGTGAAGAGATAAATATATACGTGCAGGCTCAGACTCCTCTCTGGCCACTGCCCTGCCACACTTCCTGACCCTCTCCAAGGAGGTAAGCACTGTTAAAAATAAGTAAGTTTTTAAAATGCAGTGATGCTCAATTCACAAAACTTAAGGAGGGGGGGCTACAGGTCTAATGAGTGGTGCCTTAAGTCTATGGAAGGGTGCCTTGAATTTAAAAAGGTGGAAAACCAATGTCACAGATTTCTGTCTCTACATATTTATTTCTATATGAAAAGATTAGAAGAGCATGTTTCAGGCTGGAGAGTCATTCACTCATAAGTTAGGAAATGCCAGCATCAAAGTTGCCTACACAACCCCCATTCAGCTCCCTTGTGCACATGCATGATGATGTGGATTTAATTATGTGGCTGTGTTGATTTCTCCACAAGCCTCCTCGCTCATTTAGTGCCCCAGATGGACAATGCTCACTTAATGGGCACCTATTCAATATTTTGTCTTCTCCTCATTGCTCACTGTGTGGTCCCAGGTCTTATTTAGTACCCACTATTCAAAACCTGCTCTGAGGATCGAATCGTTAATTTCCTCCTGGGCTTTTCTATGATGCTCATCCCTGCCGCATCCGATGGCTTCACAAAAAGCAATTAATTTATCTTTATAACACCCCTGTGAGATGAATGGGTATTATTATCCCCATTTCAGAGGGGGGCAACTGAGGCACAGAGGGCAGGAGGTAAACCTGCTAATTTGGGCTGCCCTCCTTCCGAGCTCTTAGAAGTCAGTGGCACTTTATACCCCCAAAACATAGCTCCCAGATATTTCCATTTCAGTTGTGAGTGCTCAGAATCTGAACTCAAGGTCTCCAGTCAGGGCCCCAAACTTGAAGAAGCAATAAATGGTGAACACCCATGACAAATCCAGTGCAAGAGACTTGCACCGCATTACAAAGGAACTCTAGCAAAGACCAGGCGTGGACTCCAGTTCCCTAGGGCAGCATTCATGTGCCATAATCCCTCCTTTCTCCTCCTGTCCTCCCCTGCCAATTCACTGAACTCCTCTAACAGATGAAGCAGGAGT